CATCTTTAATACAGGAACATCCGATCGGAGGTGATTGACGGATGGAGACTTTACTTCTGCCGGGTCGAATCACTCTGTGATAAATAAGAGAGGAGATAATACAGGATTACTATTCTGAGTTCTTATTCTCTTTCAATGACTGTTTTCGTCGATGCTTGGAGAACATCTGCACAAAGAATTTCTATTTAGAAGACAAACGCGTCACTAAGGTTGGATTACTCATCGCTGACGACCAACACCATTACGATGAGCATAAACATTGAGTATAGCGACGTATGTTGTGGAAGATTTCGACATGCAGCAGACACTTGGTGTTGTTGGCGACATGACAGAAGTAGAACTATTAGCTCTCTGGAAATGTAATTACAATTTCTTAAATTGCTCTAACTGGACTCAAGCACAGACTTCTTTGTCAAGAAACATGGGAACCATTAAAATCTACACATTTTTTTAAACTGGTTATAAGTCAGTTCACTGAGATAGCGTAGAATTTTCAATATCTGGAAGCGTCAGACTCTTCGAAGGTGTTTTTAGCAGCGACTTGGTTGTTAGAGATCGGAAGTAGTTGTCTAGCTCTTTGAAAGGGTGGTGGTCCGTTAGTGAAAGGTATGTGTGGTCAAACGCGTTCAACTTCTGCAGGATTAGATGTGCAACGGATGGGGTTGGTCGTTGTTGTCGAACGGTGCTTAAGTATTCTGTTGACGATTTATGAACATACACTATGCAATTTCATGTACTTCATTGATTTCGTGACACTGTTTCTCTGCTCCGATTGTCTTATGAGGGATCGAAAGGTTATTGTGGACTAGTTCTATTGCAAATATCCAGGCCACAAGGTTTGGTTGTGTTTTGAGTTGTTTCTGCTGTGGCAGTACCAACCTGAACTCCTGCTGAAAAAAGGGCAAGGTGTTCTTTTCCTTGACAGGGATCAATTCAAACAGTACTGAATGAATTCTAACTTTAATGTTAAAGAAATGGTGCAATTGAGCAAGGAATCAGCTTTAAAATGGTGTGCACTAACAATACGAACAATATTTATTGCAAATATTACTTATAAAATTCATAGTCGGTTAATCCGTGACCCACCGTACTAAAAATATTTCTCGGCCTATCATATCAGTTATTTTTCTGCCTGTTTTCCTTACTCTCTGATGGATTATTTTGTAGAGAGTGCTCATACACTAGTAAAGCGATTTCTGTTAGTTGACATATTAGCGGATGCATGTGTTCGTTTCAATGCGTGCGTGTCTAAAGTTCTTTTGTTCTTTGAATTTTAAACAAAGATAGCTCACCTCATATCGAACTATATTGGAGACCTCAATGGCTTCGCCAGCAAATCTCCGAAAAGTGGTGATTATGCTGAAGTCCGCGTAACTGGTGAGGACAGGCCGTTCAGGTATCAAGTAAATATGTAAAGCGTTTGTTTGGGTTTTCCAAAGATTTAAATTCGGCCTCAATTTTTTTTTTGAAAATGTGGACCTTGAAAAACTTTAGAAATGGCATACACACAGACACTGCTAGAGCGACAGGACAAAGTCTGTTTTATATGCGTGTGAGATTTTGAACCCTTCAAGGACTCTAGTAATCGAGAGACTGTTGTCGCTGGTTATCGAATAATGGCTGCGTCCACCCGATCACAAAGTGCTAATATTGTGGGTAACTGCTGTATTTTCGTCGTATTCGACTTTCTAAATCGTCACCATACCTGATTTTTCGAGCATCCTGCACTCTACGCGTTAAATAAGCCGACGTATGCCTTACGTTCCAGTTAGATTGCTTTTCTTTTCGAACTGACGTCAACTCGTAGAGAGGTCGTATGTTGTTCAACGTAATGATGTAGACAGTTGAATATTCTGAAATTTTTACAGAAGCAGAAAGCATCTGCAAATTATAACCCGAAAGTGTAGCGAAAGCACTGAATTTTGCGTTAAGTTCACTTTCTCAACATGACCTTTGTTTCCGTCTTTCGCTTTATCTTTCTCGATGTTTTTCCTTTCTAACCCTCACCCTCTTTATTTATTTCTCTCCTCCTCTCTCCTTCTCTCTCTGTTCTAAATATTTAAGAGAGCAATGCTTCTTTTCTGCTTCCATCCTTTCATTGTCCATCGACTTGCTGTTGATATTTATTTGTTTATTTTCTGATTCAAGAACACATTGTTTTTAAGGATATGTTGTTGAAAAATGATTTGTTGAAATGTAGTACTTTTTACTTACTGCCTCTTCTTTTTTCATGGCAAGGTATGCTGTGAAAGATATTTGCAAAACTCCGGACCGCAGGTGTATGCGGTAGGAATCGAACCCAGTTACCCTTTCCAAAGACTAACGTGTTTACCACCACACCATGCGGGTCCCTCTTTTCGCCTTTCTATCTGCCGTTTAGCCTATTACCCAAGTTAAGTTATCATCGTCGAGATATGTTTGGTACGGTGGTCGTGGTAGTACTGTACTGAAAGAATCCCTATCTAAGTTTCCAATACAGCGAACGGTTTTTATAGTTTCAGGAGGGTTTGCTTTTTCCTCTTTTTTAAAAATCTGACCCTTTCCAAGCCATTTCCTTATTCGCGGTTTTTTGCCCTTTAACCATAAATATCCTAACTTGGCTGAGTGCTTTTATTTAGTTACACTTTCCGGACATATCCAGTACTTATTTCCGGAATTTATCTGGAAAATATATTACGTCAACCTCTACACGTCCCTTTGGTTTTCGTTGCTTATAAAAAATCACTGGTGTGAACTTTCTTATAGAATGCATTATCGTTTTCTGAGGAGAAGTTGAAGTGGGAGTCTCGATTTGTAACTTAACATGGGAGGAGCGCCTTACCTATTTATGTGAACTCTGGAGAGTTGGTCTCCATGTAGAATGCTTAGTAGAAGACTCATAGAAAGCGCTAGGATTCCCATCTAAGCATCCCTATCTGCTTTTACACCTTTTTCTCGATACATTCCGAACTTTATCTAATTGTAGCTCTGATTTCAAAAACATTGGTTACCCTTTTTTTTGCTCACAGAATTGTAATGTCACTTCAGTACTTCAATTGACTCATCAGCGAAGTGAATTCGTTCCATTCTGATTCATTTCGAGGTGAGTAGGTGGATATCTTTGTTAAATTGGTGCTTTATTCTTGACCAGACTCAAGGTTGTCAATAAGACGATCTATTCGTTACTGATGTTTCGGCGGTTTCGTCTTTTTAAGGGTTAGGGAAGGTCACGCACATTGACACGCAGTCTATCCATACAAACATTTTCGTAACCCAAGAAGAAAAAACTCGTTATATAAATATTGTAAACAAGCTTTCATTTAACCTCGGTGTGGATTACTAGATCATTACTTTCTTCCATTAATAAGCTAACACTAGGTTTTGTTGAAAGAATATATATTCGGCTAACGTTTTGATGTCTTCGTCTTCTTCAGAGCTAATGATCCGAATGACCTGAAGGGGACAAAGACGTCGAAACGTTAGTGGAATGAATGTTTACTAACAGCCTCGTAGTACAACCACAAGAATGCTGAGATATTTGCAACACTCCAGACCGTTGGTGTATGCCGTGAGAACTGAACGCTATTACTCCTTCCGGGACTAACGCGTTCACAACCACACCATGCGGGTTCTTCGTTTCGCCTGTCTCTCAGCTAGTTCTATCGATCACTGCCATCAGCAATCACCCGTCAACGGATTTGATCTGGGGAGCACACATTGGCATTGAACCCAGTTAGGCTGAGGCTGTAGTTGAAATCACAATGTTTACTCCTTATTTTCTGTCTACTATAATTTTTATGGCAGGATATTATGCGAAATACAACCACAAGGATGCTGAGATTTTTGCAAAACTCCGGACCGCAGGTGCCTGCGGTGAGGAACGAATGCGCTATTACCCTTTCCGAGGGCTAACGCGTTCGCCTCATATCAATGAAGGGAAGTACATTGATTATTACATGAATGTTATTCACATGGTAAACAGCTTCTAGTAAACACTCATCGTTTTATTCTTTATAAATCTTCTAGTTATTTGATGGAGATCAGGTACGCAGAGTCTCGCATAGCTGGGGAGTGTGCTTGCCCCAGGTCAAAAGGTCAGCCAGAGATATGGCGCGTGGTCACGCGTGATCACAAGGCATTGATCCCTGTGGCACTTTGATCTTTCCATCCTTTGAAGAAGGCGAAACTGCCGAGACGTCATTAATGCTACTCAGTAGATCCCATTATCGACAAGCTCGTATCTGCTTAAGAATATAACACGAGCTTACTGAACAATGTCGAGGTTAACAGAAAATCGATCCTGAGAATATCTGTTTTAATATGGATGCGGTAGGAATCTGGTGAAAGAAATGTTTAGTCGTTCTTTTTTCTTGTTCTATTTTTTTGCCTAATATGCTCCTAGTTTGTACTAAATAGGTTAACAACTACCCTTCCTTTGCCTGCCTTTGCTAGCTTGAGCTCTTTCTCATTTGCATCTCTTTTCCACTAAGGCGGCGAAAAGGTGCGCATTGAGGTTTTTAACCTCAGAGCTCTCACCACTTTGTGTTCGATGTTGAATTTTTAGGTGGACTTTTATTGAAACATCGTTGTTAACGAGTCTCACTAATGTTTTCATCCTTTCCAGACTGGCAATTTGTGGATTGTTGACAGTTCTTACCTTTACGGATAGTTGATCACTCAATTGGAGAACCTGTTTTCCTTCCTCTCTTAAACACATAAAATTCCATTTGATTTAGTGGCTTTCATTCCATCTTTCCTTTAATTCGCAGTATTGTTGTACCATCACCTCGTCGTCATTCCAAGTAACATTCTTCCCTTTGATCGGCTACTGATTTTTGTGATTCGATGATGATGGTTCCAGTGCGATGTCTCTATCCGAGCGCGCTTCGTCGAGCGAGGATTTGACCAACAACAATAGCGATTCCATTTCTCGTAAAAGTGGAGCACTCAAAATCCCTGCGAACAGTGAGACGTGCTTTTCCAACGATCGAGGCACTAGCAGTTCAACGACGTTATCGAAGATGTTGCCCAGGTCGCCACAACTGAAGCGGCGTAACGTGCGTAAGAATCTCAACCCATCGCTAGCCGCCGAGGACTTCACGCTTCGTCGCTCTCCGAAAGATTCTTCTATTCGATGGACTGATATTTTCACATCAAAACGAATTAAGAAGACGATTCACAAACATTTTCGAGATCCATATTATTATGTAGGCCTTGTTTTACTACCCAAAAATGCTAAGCAAGTCGGTGCTTGTCTTAAACCTGTTTGCTGTGAAATAATAGACGTCTGCGTGGGTATTCGAAAGCTGTACGAAAGTGGAGACGTTTTGCTTCGAACCGACTAAAGAGTAAATCTGAATGTCAGTGCTTACCTGAAGGTTGTAAATTTATTCCACTTTTATGTTTTCGAATTTTAAAAATCGATTATTCAGCGAAGTTAAGCTGAATTACAAAAAACACGTTTCACTTTTTGCGAGTGACGTTGTTTTACCAGGTTTGCAGTAGCACCGACTTGCCTGAGCCTGAGTTCAGCATTTGTTTAGGGGGCCAGTAATTATTTCGAATTTGTTGAAATGAATATTAAATATTCAGGAAGACGATCGACAATCGATGGATGAGATGGTTTGCGCGACGAAAGAACTATGCTCACTGTCCACTTCAGAGTTAAACGGTCGAGTTGAACAAGTTCTGGTATGGTCTTTTAATGGCTTTCTCTCATACGGCTTAAACTATCTGGCTTTTTTTTTAATGTTTCAGCGTGACAGAAACATTGACCAGAAAACTATTGACACTATGCTGAATAACATGGAAGACGAGAGGAAACGATTAATTCTGACGCAACATCTCAAAACTGACGTCAGTGGTACCAAAAAGGTCTGATATCTTTTCCAGGATTTTGAGTTAGTTTTCCGGGTGTGGTTTTATGTGAAATCGCCACTGTTCTTTTCGTTGTTCAGAATGCGTGCCACGACTAGAATAAAAACAGAAAAAGACAAGTATTTGATTTGAAATGCTGTGTACGCTCTACCATTTTTATCTAAATTAGATTCACTGCGAGTTGAGATATGTTCGTTCAACGGTTAGGTTCGGCATGAATTGGTTTCCATTCATAACGTGAAAGAATAGCGCCCTCTTTTACATTTAGGCCATCATATCTCGTCCTGTAGCGATCTTTACTGGTTAAATTCAAACGATTACTCTATAAATCTTCGCCAATAAAATGCAATTTTTCCTACCGTATCGTGATGGTATTTTATTTTTGTGAAGACCAAAAATATAAAGTTTTTTCTCGTCACATCACTTATCAGCAGAACGCAGTGATGTCTCCCGATGTGTCGTTAGTGTTAACAGCCACTGCTTTTGCACTAGGAATTTTACTGATTTAAATGTCGCATTCGGTTTCATTGGTACTTTCAACTCTAAACATCTCTAGAAATGAACTAACAGAGTCCCTCCTTTCTGTAAGTCTACCAAGTTCTAAACTCATCATGTACTCTGGTTTGTTTTTTAACTGATGATTTAATTTATTCAACCAATCAATTGTTTAATTTCAGCCATTCTAATTAGTTTTTTAATCTTCGTTTCGCTTTGTTTTTCTTTGCCCTATCGTCACTTGTCGAAAAACCAGTTTCGGACTCAATGTTAAAGTTGAATGTGGCCACCATGTTCGGACACTATGAGTACTATATGATTCCTTCTGGGCGCAATGTCTTAATGTCGAGTGTACCTAATTCTAAATTAAAGAACTTTGATCCAGAGCAAGAGCTTCCTACTAACCGTTTTTCCTGATACCTTCTTTTCTTCTTCTTAGATTATTAAGCTAACATGGGGTTAATAAAAAGGTTTATTCGGCTAACTTTTCGACGTCTTCGTCTTCTTCAGAGCCGATGGTCCGAGTCGATAGTCCGCAATCTTCACACTTGATGTGGTGTTTTTGTCGTCGTATTGAGTCAAATCTTCTTCAATGACAACAAAGATGTTGAAACGTTAACCGAATAAACCTTTTTATCAACCTCATGTTAGCTTAATCGTCGGAGATGGTATTGATTGTTAATGCAGGGGTTAAATGACGGTCGATTTTTGAACACCTTCCTATTGAGCTTTTTTCAGACACCGTCGATGATGATCGATCAACTAATTAGTGTGTTGGATAGCGACAATGTTTTGGATAGGAAGAAGGACATTGTGACGTTGAAAGTCATCCTCTCTGGCGAAGGAGTGAAATATCTGTCGGAGGTCTGTTTGTTTATTCATGAGGTAGCGACTGCTGTGTTTAATGACTAGTGGAAATCGCTTTATGGTTAGGAAACAGCACTTTTTTGATGAACAAGGAGGAAAATCTCACCAAAAGTTTCCATACTGAGTGCTAATGTAACACATAGGTATCTTTTCAGTTTGCCAAGTACGGGAACGAACACAGTAACGAAAATGGTCTGCAACTGATCTGTAGGTTATTACAAGTGGTAAGATCAACCTTATCTATTATCTTCATTACATTCCTAATCGTCCCTCTCGCTCCTCTCCTAAATTTTATGGGTTGAAAATTATAGGGAGAGGTGACGTATCAGTAGTGCTAAAAGCACAAGAATGTAATTTTTCAACGACTATACGAGTAAAAGATCGTACCTCTATCTCATTATCGTAATGCTTTTTATTCCGTTGTTGTTCTCTGAAGAACTATCAAGTGCAACCAAATGCATCGAAAATCGTTGTGCCTGGAGCCGGCTTGAACCTGAGCATATACGCAAGACGATGGTAGTGAATCTTCGCATTGCGCCATGTAGAGAATTGCACAACTTACGACCACAGATGCAAACGTCATTGAGAATAAATCAACAAGGTACTTAAATTGGTCATGTTCATATCTGACTTCACAAATCTTCGCATCTTGAACCACCTTTTGCCGTGGTTCATCATATTTTACGACTCTGACCTAGAATCTGGTTGTCACGAATTCTGGTGGATTTAGCGAAGAGACTGTTCTTGGAAACACCAAGCTTTCCGTAGTTGAAACCTTTGTGCTCCGCTTTTCAACATCCAGTTTTACTTAGTCACCGCTGTGTGGCAAACCTCTGAGCTAACGCTGTAGATTTGACAAACTAATTTGACAAATTTACATCGTAGTGCAACCTGTAAATAACAAAGAAGTGTACCTGTCCTTCATCACTGGTGACTTATTGTTTAAAAAAAAACAAAGTCACATGTTGCTAAAACATTAAGTGTCAAATGAGAGCTAGGAATATATATCCCTATAAAAAAATTATTTACATCAACTGAATCCTCTTTAGTCACCGCATAACTTGAGCGGCTACAAGTAAAATCTCTTTTCGTATCTGCTTTGTACAAGGAACCACCCAATGAGCTCAGCGACACGAAAGGGGACCATTGTTTCTGTACGAAGCTTCTTGTTCCTACTTTTTCGCCGAGGTACTGCATAAAGGTAGCTCACCTGGTTTTGCCTTAAAACGACATGTGTATACAGGAATTACTTTTTGACCTCTCTTGGGGTTTGCAAAGACTCAATGGTTGGAAATGTCGTGGAATAATACAGCCGTACTCGCTGGTTCGATCATTCCCTGGTCCATCCAAAGCTTATTCCTCTTACGTCGTAATATTAGCATCACATCTATCCGGAAAAGGCTCCTATCCATCCGTAAAGGCTGGCGAGTGTAGACTTGGAAATGTCTCACCGCGGTTATCCTTGGATTACAGGGAGAATGTACTAGAGTAACGACGGTCACGAAGAGCACCACATATCGTCAACCAACAGCCGACCCCACACCCAAGTCTGGAAACTCTTGTGGTTGACCTTGTGATCCACGTAACATGTGATGTCGGATAAATGAAAAATAAGTATGAATATTTTAACTTTTTATTTGCTGCCTACTATTTTTTCATGGCAGGGTATTATGTGAAATATAATCACATTGATGCTGAGATATTCGGAAAACCCAGATTTCATGCCAGCTTTGAACTCGTGATTACCCTTTCACGCGGTTCATATGTTGGCCACTGCATCACACAGGTCTTTGCTTTGATTTCTCTCAGCCAACTTTTTACCCTAGCACTGCTATCAGCAATTACCCGTCAACGAGAATAATCTGGGAGCACAAATCGGCATTGGAAGCAGTTATGCTGAAGTTGCAGTCGAAGTTACAATATTTCAACTTTTCGTTTTTGCCTATTGTTTTCTTTTAATGGCAGGGTGTTATCGTAAAATACAACGACGCTGATGCTGATACATTTGCAAAACTCGGATCCCAAGCAGGCTTCGAACCTGCGATTACCCTTTCAAGCGGCTCACATGCAACCCGGCTCACCACCGAGGGCCTTGCTTTGCCCTTCTTTCAACCAATTTCTCACTTTCTTCCAGTTTCTTTTCAGCCAGATAAATATGAATAAATATACTGCTTTTGGTAGTCGTCTAACCTCCAATACTGCTTAGGTGATAGGCGACTGCCTTAATAATAGTTGACTCGAACTCTTCGTTCTAGTGAGATATAACGCTGAGACTGGAATTATGTGTGGGCCAGTATCATTGTTTCAGATTCTCTTAGAACTAAGGGAAGTCCATGAGGACACAGTTGAATCACGCGAATTACTCTCACTTCTTATGGAAGTTGTTCGATGCATTCGAACAATCGTCAATACTTATGTGAGCATTCTTTTCAGTATTTAAGTTTCACCCTTTGCAGTGCCATAACGTTGTTCAGTTTAGCTTTTGTTTACTATTACGTTGTTTCATAAGAGTATGAGATGGTTTCGTATATTTAGCCTGGATTGGAACTCGTTTTGCAACGTGACTCACGCGTCATTGGCCGTCTTATTGAAGGCCTTTGTGTGATTAATAAGCGAAAACCTAGAGAAGGAGAAGAAACTGAAGCTGGTAGAGCTTTAAGAGCAGAAACTGTGAAAATTCTCGCTTCTATTGGTATGGTAAATCAGGAGTCCACCAAAAACATACAGATGGAAATGACAGGGTAGGATCTCATGCTTTATCCCTGTCCTTGTTGAGCTACATTTTTCCGTAAAATGTAGTTCGTAGTAGATAAATTTTTTCGCAAACGGACTTTCACCGGCTTAAGGAGTTGTAAATTTTATTGCCAATGTTTCACAAATCTCATTCCTTTTCTCCTTCAGCGCTCAAAAAATGGTTAAAGAACTCACGTTGTTGTCTGCACGAACCAAACAACCACGGTTCAAGCCAATTTTGGATTGTCTTCGATTTGTTAAGGATTCTGATGTAGATCATGTGGTTTGTTATTTTTGCCTATATGTTTTGTAGATGGAAAGGGCAATAACTTCTTTCCAGTACCGAATACTTATCATAATCAACCTGCTGATCCATAGCAGTGACCGGGACTTCAGTGATGAACAAGCTTGGCAAATACGAATGTCTCTTCGTTCTGAGCTGATGAGAGATGGATTCGGAAATTATATCCCTGTATGGTTCTTACTTTCTTTTTTCAAAATTGCTGCACTTTTTCCCACATACGCTGCATTTCTTTGTAGCACATAGTTGAGTTGGCAAAGATAGATCAACGAATTAGCGAAGTGTACGGTGCGTTTACGTCAATACAGGATGACGATTTTAATGAGTTGGTGTCGCGTTTCGAATCCCTGTGAGTTGTTCTCTCCGACAAAAATTGTATTTCTTAATACATGATTTACCACTGTTTAGCCGCGGGGAATATGACGCATTGGGTGGTTGCTTCGAAGTTCTTGCGTCAACTTGTGAGAATACGCCAGTCGAATCTGTTCTGTTGAGCATTTTTCAACATCTGATGCTAATTCCCGATGATGTTTCCGTGAGGCAAGTTCGTTTCTGATTATTGAGATCACATTTATAGGATTCGAACTCTGGAATAAACTGATTTCCTGCTTTAGGCTGTCGTATTTTCGGCTCATTGAGAGTTGCATTAATGAAATCGTCTTACCCAAAAACGGTGTCGATCCTGATTTTGATTCGCAATTCCATTTTGAAACACCTGTGAGCGAAATCATAGGTAAATCTCCTTGATAAGAGGGGTTGATCATTTCTGGCATGAAACTGCTTGCGATTGTCAGGATACCGTCTTCTTGCCTTTTGTTATTCCAGAACAACTACAAGATGCAGAATTTTCTCGAAAATTGGAGCAAAGTGTCCAACAGAAACAAGAAGCTGTTGCTAAGCAGATGCAATATTGGCAGAAGCTCAATGAATTTCGTACAGAGGCAAACTTGCTGCGAAAGCATGTTTGTTTGTGTTTGGTCATTCTTCCTTTTCCAGCTATTATAAAGTCGCATGAATTTGTTTATAGATAGAGAATCCTTCCAACCCCATTCCTTCAGCGACGACATGTACACTTCAGCCGCCGGTCGATTCCGCAATTCCTTCTACTAGTGGGCTTCCTCCCATTACCGGTGATTTGTTTTTACCATTTTCTTCTCGAATTACATTTCTTAATATGCTCCTTTTTTAAACGTTTTAGTTTTGATAACAAACCCAAATCCATTACGTTCAGGAGGGCCGCCACCACCTCCTCCGTTGAACAATGGTCTACCTCCAGTAACTGGCGGTCCCCCTGCTCCACCGCCACCTGGCATGGGTGGCCCACCGCCACCACCACCTCCGCCACCACCTGGCTGTAAGTACTTCATGTAACCCAGTCCTGTATCCATAGTGCATCGTTGTATTATTCAACCAAATACATTTAATGTGACCATATTGGTCAATTTTTTGGCTATACTATCGTTTATTTTTGGCAAAATCGGCTAGAATATAGGTGACCGTGCTTAACACGGTCATTGTGTATGGATTTCAACACAAACGCTTGTAAGAGATCTCTAGACGAACACATCTGTATTTGAAATGAACTTTTGTAAGAAATAGCGAACAGAACTTCAGATCTTTGCCTACAAGTAACAAGTTCTCTCATTCTACACCGACGAAATTTTCCATTTTCTGTCGTCCGCTTATCTTTCCTATTTCCTCTTGTTTTCAGCAAGGCTTGTCTCTCAATCAGCAGTGCGATTGCTTTCACCATTTGAAGATGTCTAGAGTTAAAATTTCCAAAAAAAGCGCTAACGAAATATAGCCTTTTGAGATTATCGACAGTAGAGCGGTAGGTGCAAACATTAACGATACATTGGGTAATACCGTCGTGTTGCGTTGAGCAAAATTTCGCCTTTTCACTTGCTTTCGTGTTCGAAATATGAGCCTAGAAGTAAAAAAAGAAGAAATAGTCGTGAGCTCAAAAAAATTACAATTTCATCAAAGTAACACAAGAGAACTTTTCTTTGGTAGATAAAGTGGCCTATGAAAATCTTTATTACGATCAATGGAATTTGCTATGGTCAGAGAGGGTTTGTGAAATACGTCCACAAAGATTCTGAGAAATGAGTAAAACTCGGAACCTCAATTGGGATTTTAACTCGCGGTTGCACTCACCAAGGCTCACGTGCTATCTACCACGCCAACCGATGCCCTAGCTTTGCTTTTTTCTCATTAACTTTTTTAGTCTGTCGATGCCATAAACATCCTGTCGTGAAAAAAGAGTAGTTAGTAAACAAAACCTAAGACATAAAGATATGTTGGTTTAAAGATTGTTGGCGGCCGTTCTTCTGGCGTAACCTGCTGGGGAGTCTGGTACCAGTTTCGTTCACGACCAGCTGACAAGAACCAGACATAAGAAGCTCATAACATCTTTTGGTTTCGTGCACCGCTCCTCCACTTCTCCAGTTTCTTCATTGTTACTTTCCGCGAGAAGTTGATTGAGCCCGAGTTTGAAGTTATCGCCATCTGATGTGACTCAAGACCATAGTAGTGAACTCTTGACCATCGAAATTAATCCGGAATGTTAAGAAAGATCGTTCAATAAAAGTAGGATGTTAAGTGGTATCAGGATAGAGGTTTGCGAGAAAACGTAAAAGGAAGCAAAAAGAATAGAGTGATGACCATGGAGGATGCCAATAACTTCACAAGCGTGGGCCTTTTGTACCCTTCCGATCTTCCAGAATATTCTTAAGGATTTGAAGAACAATGACTCTGATCTCTATAATAGAAATTGTGGAAACTCCGCCAATTCATTGACGTAGCAAATATTTGCATTTGTTGGTCGATTTATACTTCTAATCCATAAATACTCAAAAGGCATGTCTCAACTAGTCGTAGTAAACTTTATGAATTTAAATAAAAACGTTTGAATTCTAGAAACTTTTTCCAATGAAGGCACATGCCCGTGGTTGTGCGCTATAAAAATTGATTTTTTTTGTAGGAAAGCTTTAATTTTGAACTTAGAATGGAACTTACATCCTAGGAAAGTTGTCGCTTTTAGAGTGATAGAACAAAGTCTCTTCTACAAGTATGTTGAGTTAGGAAACCAACATCGTCGCTTGCATAGGTGGTACAAAGCTCAGCCTTTTGACCAGTAATTAAAGGGTTTCTCGTTTCCAGTCGTTATAATGGATCACGATAGGTTATAGTCATATGGAATGGTCGGTTACAAAAAGTACCGAAATGTATTCAGCATGAGCAGCAAAGCCCTTTCACATTCTCACACCAATGTGCTTGGCGGATGAAATATAGCATGCCCCGTTGTAGTTCCGTTTATCGTCGAGTGACTCGAGCGGGTCCCAGTAAATCTTCCACTTTTCCCTGTCGCGTGCAAGACTAGCCCACTGGGTTCTGCTCGCTTTAGGGACTCGTCGAGCATCATATCATTCCTCTAGGTTCTTCATGAAGAACTCTGACCACCATCGGGTTAGTGGTCTTCTTGCAGTACGTTTGACATACCGAGGAATCCAGTCACTGACGGCTCTTGTCCATCGGTTGCCATTCATACGCATTACGTGTCCAACCCACCTTATCTTCGGCTATTTGGCGTATAGAACGGCGTATTTGATTTTTGATCGTTAACGCAGGTCGGAGCTTCGGTTCCCTTCCCTTACTTGTGTGAAACGGGATACTCCTAGCATCGTCTTTTTGACTGCGCGTTCCATAACGCTGAGTGATCTTTCATTCTGCATACGCAGCGATCAGGTTTCTGACGCATATGTTAGGACAGGAAGTGCCGTTAAGTCGAAAAGGTGAGCACGCAATCGGGTGTTCTTTGTCCTCTTCACTACATGCTCGATGCTCTTGAAAGCTCCCCAAGCCGCTCGTTTCCTTCCGCTCAGCTCTAGAGCTAAGTCGTTCAACATGTTGGTTTCCCGATCTAGACTGACATGACTGAAGCATTCGGACATCTTTGTTCCGTTGAGCGTGAATGGGGCATACGAAACCAATCCGTTCCTCATTCATGAACATCGTTTTAGTGAGATTTAGTCGAAGACCAATCGTTCCACAGGCTTTATCAAAGTCGTCAAGCATACGTTCCACTTGGCTAATGTTTGGTGCTATAAGGACGATGTCATCGGTAAAGCAAAGATGATGTGACTGCCGGCCATCGATTTTAACTCCCATATTATTCCATTCTAATGTTCGTATGACGTTCTGGAGGGTGGCGATAAATAATTTTGGAGAGATGGTATCGCTTTGCCTAACCCCTCTTCTGACGTCAATGTTTGTATCGTTGTAGAATGGTGATATCTTGGTTGTGAAATTTTTGTACAGCTCAAGAAGAATCTTTATGTACTGAGTAGGGACTCCCTTACTATCAAGGGCTTCCATGACTGCTTCTATCTCAATTGAGTCAAAGGCTTTTTTTAAATCGATGAAAGCAAAGACAGAGTGGTCTTTTGTACTCTCACGATACTTCAATGAGTCTTGTTATCGTATGGACGTGGTCCATCGTAATAAATCCTTTTCCAAACCCCGTTAGCTCACATGGCTGTCCTTCGTCTAGTGTTCTGTCAATCCTGTTTAGGATGACTCGAATGAAAAGTTTACAGATGACAGACAGTTAGCAGATTGGGCAGTAGTTGCCGATATCGTGTAGGTCACCTTTCATGAACAATAACGCGGCCATGCCGGTCTTCCTCTGAGTAGGGACCTTGCATTCAGACAGGTAACGTGTGAAGAGCCGAGCCAGTGTGTTTACGGGGACTGGCGGAAGGTTTTTCAGGTCTTATGCTCTGGTCTTATGCTGTCCGGGCCCGGTGCTGTGCGATTTTTCACCGACGAAATGGCATGTCGGATTTCAGAGGGAGAACCGGTGGTACAACATATCCATCCTCCTTTGTTTCATATGACGGAAGGTGGACGTGGCTACTGAAGAGATCTGAACAGTGTTGGTGAATGACTTTCTCCACTGCCTTTCTAAATGCTGTAACTGTTCCGTCTGGGCGCCGGAGTGCAATCATTTTGGTCTTGTAATTGGCGAACCTTCGGCGGGCTTTGCGAATGCTTTTCCCAGCCTCTTCAACTTCGACCATAACTGCTGTTTTTCACTCTTCAAGATCTTCTTTAAGCACCTGTCTGCGTTGTTTTTCAAGTTCGGACGTTAGTTCACAGTTGCCTGGAGCTCGTGCGATTCCACACTGGCGTATCAGCTCGAGTGTTTCTGGAGACAGACGTCTCTTGGTGACTCTCGAACTATCAGCTTTCATAGCGCTAACGTGATGATGTTGAATGAGCCGATCATATTCTTCGTCGATGTTATTAACAACGGTTTCCTCCCAACAGTTAACTAATGAATTGAATAAATCCCAGTTTGCGGTGGTTCTGAGACTTCGATTTTGAAATTTAGCGGCTTTTTCTCCTCTCCGCGAGAAATGGAATCTTGCACGAAGGAGACGATGGTCTGATCCCGTGTAGAATTTTGCGACAACAGCGGCTTCGGTTGAACAAAACCTTTTATATTATGATGTGGTTTATTTCGTATTTCGTTATGGTACTCTCCATTTGGAAACTCCTATGTCCAGCGTTGAGGGTGGGGCTTTTGTAATTGCGAGTTACCATGGTTTGTCTTGGTCGCTATAATAAACTCAGACAGCCGCTCACCTTGTTCGTTCCATTCTCATCCGTGGGTCCCAATGTGACGTTCCTCAGACGTTCTTCTTGGTGCAATCTTGGCGTTGAAATCGCCAATGATGACCTTGAAGAATGTACGGTCTTCTCTATAGAACATCTCAGGGTCCATATAGGACGCTTAGACTTCTTTGTCGTCATAGTTTGATGTCGACGCGTAAACGACGAAGATTGTCAGGGACGGTAGTTATCCACATCTTTTTAATTGTAATCGTCCAATTCGGGTTGTTAGTTGTTCGAATGAATCGATGTTCATGGACAAACTCGTGTTGACGAGAACGCCGACTCCGTCGACTAATGTCGCATGTTCCGAGGTACAGTTCTTCTTCGGTGTCATAGACGGCGTCCATTTTTTTCTACTGTTTTTAGCTTTTTGGTACCTACTTGTGGCTTGCTCGGCTCTGAATGTGGGGGCTGGCGATACTCGCGGGTACCTTGCCAGGCTCCCCCAGAGTGGACATGGAGCTTATTTGTTGGAGGCGACTTCTAATCACCTCTCATAAACTTCCCTGTCATTTGATTGCAGGCTTTTGGCTGAATTGACTCGTAGAAAACATTTCGAATAAACTAGAACGCACCCACACACGCGTCCATGAATAAATACAGAAAGTATGTGCCAAATCGGCGCACCAGAAACAGGGAGTCCATCCCTGGATCCACCTGCGCCTCAGGGAAGCAATGGTCGCTTTTGGTCCGCGATTAACTCCCTGTCCGCCACCTGGGGACGCTCCAAGTAGCCTCGCCATTATCCGGTTATCGGTATGTCTCATATGATGGGGATCCGTGGTGAGAGGTGGAATATAGTAGCAGCATTATACGTCTAGGTGGATAGAACAAAACGTATTCTGTAATTTTCTTGTTTTAAGTTCATAAGCCCCAATGAGTTCAAGTCCTTTTGGCCTCCGAGAAATTAACGGTAGTTGTGTATATGTTAAAAGCATTTTCAGTCGCTGGGCCTCCTCCACCTCCTCCTAATCTCTTGAACAATGGTGTTGGACTGCCACCACCACCAGGTCTTCAAATACCGCTTAACAACGCTCAGCCTGCTCTACCTGATTTTCTTACACTGAAGACAAAGCGAAACGTCGATGTGCCTATGCGGAAATTTCCATGGACGAGTAGCACTGTAGGTTTTGGTTCGTAGTATTCCAGTTTCCCGAAATACGCTGTTCCGTCATATTGAAATTCGAGGTTTACTTTGAAGATCAATCCTCGAAATCTGCATCGTGATTGTTTCTGGGCAACAACTTCAGAAGATGATTTGGCTAACGAATCCTTGCTTCAACAGTTAAAGGTAACATTTCAATGTATATCAACCCTCTTCGAAATCTCAAAAAATTTTCTGGACTTTTCGCCTTTATTTAAACTATGCACCTTTGCAGGAAAAGTTTGCTAATAAATCTGCCGTTGCAAGTGTTGATGCACATAAAAGCGGGGTACCGGTAAGGAAAGCGAAACAGCCCCAAATTGTGAAAGACGAGAAGATTCTTCAGGCCCTGGGTGAGTTTGTGGTCTGATTATATAAGTGCTTCTCATGAGTTATTAATGAAGAAAATCTGTGTTCTTGGTCTATAGAATGCAACATGTCCGTTTCAGCTATCCTGCAAGGATCTGTAAAGCTTTCTCATAGGCAGTGGCAAAAATCACTTCTACGTGTTGGTTGCTTTCCGGAATATCCAGCATTACTGGTGTTTCATATTAAAGCACGATAAATGAGATTTATGCCTTTTTAGGTGGATGATACTGTGCTGTCAGCGAACACACTGCAGCAACTTCGCACTGCCCTTCCACCTCTGGAAATGATTAAGAAGTTATCTGAAGTTGATCCGTCGGTTATGAAAGAAATGCCGGAAGGAGAGTTGGTGAATACAACTTTCTTTTACTTGAACTCAAGCAGACTAATGGAAACATTTGACGAGATGGAAAGTGGTACTAGATATAACTGTTTAGAAACGTCGTATGTTATGTTATTTTGAAGGACAGGGCTAATAGATATTCTACTGGTAACTTGGGTAAACATGTCTTGGCTGATACGATTTTTAAAACAATGGACTAATTTATTCCTACATGTCAGAAAGTATCCCGAATCTACCAGTGCATTGTAGCTCCTTAAGCAGGAGTTCCACTACACAGGTGAAGTCATTGGAACAGTGATGGAAATGTCTCACAAGTAGGGAGTGAAAGAAGTATAACTAACACTCACGGGACTTTGAACTATCTATTAATCTTCTAGCAAACATCACTGATATTCAAGTGGTTCGAGGGCGGTGTTTTAGTTCCTTAATATCTTGACTTCCTCATATAACGGATCTCGAGCCGATTAATCGCGAGGCTACATGACGCGTCCACAGGTGGCGGATAGGGGGTAATCGCTGACCAAAAGCAACATTTGCTTCACTGAGACGCAGGTGGATCAAGGTGATGGACTCCCTGTTTCTGCTGCGCCGATTTGGCATATACATTCTGTATATACGAGGCGTATTCATAAACGCGTGTATGGGTGCATTCTCGCTTATGTGGATTGTATTCTAGGAGTCAATTCGGCCTAAAGCTTGTAATCAAGTGACAGAGAAGTATATGGGAGGCGGCTAGGAGTCGCCTCCAACGAATAAGCTCCATGTCCACTCTGGGAGAGCTTGGCAAGCTACCCGTGAGTATATCCAGCCCCACGTTCAGAGCCCAGTAAGCTATACGTGGGTATCAAAAATGCTAAACAAAGTAAAAAGTAAAAAGACGTGCCTTATTTCCCTGACCCCGAAAGAGCCTCCAATTTTGCAACGTTGGAGGAGTACGGAGAGGCTGTTAAAATCTCAGGGCCAATGGAAGCTGCCTGGATTTCAAAGAACGATGGTGACGGTCTGTACCTACAATACACGTACACTTGCATCCGAGTCCTCGATAGAAGACTTGCTCATGCAAGCAAGGAGGAAAAAGTATGACGTCATCGGCCTGGCCGGAGCGAGAGGATGCCGCCTTTCAACTCCATCTATTGACACCGGAGAAGAACTGCTCGTCGGAACATGCGACAGTAGAGGAGTCGGAGTTCTCGTCAACACGAGTTTGTGCGTGAACACGGACAAATCCGTGAAATCGATTCATTCGAACAGCTTGCAACCCGAATCGGACGTCTACGATTAAAAAGTTGTGGATCGATACCGGGTTTGACAGGCTTCATCGTTTACGTGCCGACATCAAACTATGATGAAGAAGAAGTCTAAGCGTTCTATGTGGACTTGGAGAAGTTCTACAGAGAAGACCACACATTCTTCAAGGTCATCATTGGAGATTTCAACGCCAAGATTGGACCAAGAAGAACGTCTGAAGAACATCACATTGGGACCCACGGATTAGAATGGAACGAACAGGGTGAGCGGTTGTCTGAGTTTATAATGGCGACCAGGACAATCCATGGTAACTCGCAATTACAAAAGCCCCACGCTCAGAGCTGGACGTAGGAGTCTCCCATTGGAGAGTACCATAACGAAATAGACCAAATCATTGTAAATAGAAGGTTTTACCTAACCGATGTCGCTGATGTCCTAAAATTCTACACGGGATCAGGCCATCGTCTCCTTCGTGCAAGATTCTATTTCTCACGGAAAGGAGAAAAAGCCGCTGATTTCCAAAACCGAAGTCCCAGAGCCGCCATAACCTGGGACTTATTCAATTCATTAGTCAGATATTGGGAAGATGCCGCTGTCGATAACATCAACAAAGAATACGATCGGCTCATTCAACATCTTGACGTTAATGCTATGAAAACTAATAGTTCGGAAGTCACCAAGAGACGTTTGTCTCCAGAAACACTCCAGCTGATACACCAGTGTGGAACAGCAGGAGCTGCACCCAACTGCTAACTAGCGTCCGAACTTGCGAAACAATACAGACAGGCGATGAAAGAAGATCTTAAGGAGAGAAAAGCAGCATTAATGGTCAAAGCTGCAGAGAGTGCGAAAAGTATTCCCAAAGCCCACGAATGCTTCACCGATTACAAGACCAAGATGGTTGCACTCGGACGCCCAGACGGAACAGTTACAGCGTCCAAAAAGGCAATGAAGAAAATCGTTCGCGAATGCTACTCGGATCTCTTCGATAGCCACGTCCACCTTCCGTCATATGAAAGAGAGGATGGAGACCACCAGTTCTCCTACCGAAATCCGAAATACCATTTCGTCGGTGAAAAATCAAATAGCACCGAGCCCGGGCAGCATAAGACCAAACACCTGAAAAACCTTCCGCCAGTCTTCGTAAACACACTGGCTGGGCTCTTCACACGTTACCTGTCTGAATGCAAGGTCCCTACTCAGAGGAAGACCAGCAAGGCCGCGTTATTGTTTTTGAAGGGTGACCTGCACGATATCGGCAACTACTGCCCAATCTGCTAACTGTCTGTCATCTGTAAACTTTTCATTCGAGTCGTCCTAAACAGGATCGACAGAACACTAGACGAAGGACAGCCATGTGAGCAAACAGGGTTTCGAAAAGGATTTATTACGATGGACCACATCCATTCGATAACAAGACTCATTGAAGTATCGTGAGAGTGCAAAAGACCACTCTGTCTTTGCTTTCATCGATTTAAAAAAAGCCTTTGACTCAATTGAGATAGAAGCAGTCATGGAAGCCCTTGATAGTAAGGGAGTCCCTACTCAGTACATAAAGATTCTTCTTGAGCTGTACAAAAATTTCACAACCAAGATATCACCATTCTACAACGATACAAACATTGACGTCAGAAGAGGGGTTACGCAAAGCGATACCATCTCTCCAAAATTATTTACCGCCACCCTCCAGAACGTCATGCGAACATTGGAATGGGATAATATGGGAGTGAAAATCGACGGTCGGCAGTTAGACTATCTTCGCTTTGCTGATGATATCGTTCTTATAACACGAAACATTAGCCTAGCGGAACGTATGCTTGACGACTTTGATAAAACCTGTGGAAAGATCGGTCTTCGACTAATTCTCACAAAAACGATGTTCATGAGGAATGGATTGGTTTCGCATGCCCCATTCACGCTCATCGGAACGAATATCTCCGAATGCTCCAGTTATATCTATCTAGGTTGGGAAATCAATGTGATGAACGACCTAGCTCAAGAGCTGAGCGGGAGGAAACGAGCGGCTTGGGGAGCTTTCAAGAGCATCGAGGATGTAGTGAAGAGGACAAAGAACGCCCGACTACCTGCCCACCTTTTCGACTCAACGGTACTTTCTGCCCTAACGTACGCGTCAGAAACCTGGTCGCTGCGTGAGCAGGATGAAAGGTCAGTTAGCGTTATGGAACGCGCAGTCGAAAGGACGATGCTAGGAGCATCCCATTTCACACAAGTAAAGAATGCGATTCGAATCGCTTCGATCTACTTCAAGGATCAAAATTCAAAGATACCGTTTTGTACGGCAAACAGTCGAGGAAAAGATGAGCCGGACTCATAATGCGTATGATTGCCAACCGATGAACAAGAGCCGTTAGTGACCGGATTCCTCGGGATGTTAGACGTACTGCAGGAAGACCACCGATCCGATGGTCAGAATTCTTCACAAAGTACCTAGAAGAAAGATAAGATGCTCGACGAGTCCTTAGAACGAGCAGGACCCGCTGGGCTAGTCTTGCACTCGACAGGGAAAAATGGAACAGTTGCTGGCGCCGGCTCGAGTCACTCGACGATCAGCGGGGCTACAAGTGATACAGGTGAAAATCTTGACTAGGTGTTTCTTAGATTTAGAGGAAAAACTAAGTGTTCGCTCAGATGTTGAATGCTTTTTAGGATCAGTTCCTTGTATCAGCTCGTCTGTTCTTTCAACCGTGAATTGGCAATTTGCGTTTTCGTTGATCATGGCTTGTTTCCCCATTCTGACACCACCTTAGGCTCAGTTTGATTGCGAAGTGATATGATCGGTTCACTACAAAAAAGCTTGCGCGCCAGTCTATTAGTGGAATTGTGATCGATTTCTGATTTTGTTATGCTATCAAAGGACTCGTATTACTCATCAGAGACAACCATTCGTATCGAAACGTGCATTTCACACAGCAACAGCGTTATAGACATAAGCACAATATTATAATCTCAATTTCGATTCTATTGATATCTCTTTCTGAGGTTACGAACCATTGCTCTCCAGCGACCTTCTTCATTCTTGAAGTTGTGGTCATTCAGATAATAGAATTGTACCACTTTTCATCTAACGATGGAAGTCCTGCCACTGTAGTAAATGGTCATAACGCGCTCTCATTAGTTTTAATTTCGCTTTTCTTTTCATTCGTTTGAGTGATCCCCAAAACATCTCATTGTCAGAGGTGTCTATAACCTCTGCAGTATAATACTTCGTGTTAGTTTAATGTAGCTTAATGCATACCAGAATGAGCCTTGTTTTGGCTCTCTATTTCAGCTTATCCGAGTGTAGCTGTTCGAGAGTAGAGAGATCTAAAAGTTCTCTTATCAATGTTCCAAATTCTGATTTTCTTTGCCATTCAAATATTCTGCTTTTCGAACATTTCTTTCCTTTGTGGTAACTAATATAGTTGATGCAGCCGGCAGAATAATGATAGTGACGTCCATCATTGCGAGCATGGTGCTAGTTCAATTCCTCCCCGGCCCACGAAGCCTCTCACTCCTCCGGAGTTGGGAAATTGGCACCGGACTTATCTGGAAAAGGTTCACTCTCTGGAATCCAATTGAGAACGCTCCAGCTCCGCTATCTCAGGACTCCAGGGAGAATTGCTCGGCCGGCATTCTACGACATTCAAGATGAAATGGAAATCCTCAAGCAGCAACCAAAGCTACACGTAAAAGTTGGAAGATCTTCGTGGGTAATGGATACTAGGAAACGAATCGAATGTGGGAAGTGCTGGGATCTTCACTGCTGTCGTGAAGACAGGTCATACAAATTGAAATAAATAGAAATATAGTCAAGTTAACTAGTTACTTACTGTGAATGGTATTAAAAACGCTACATGAATATCATACAATGATTGCTTTGCAGTTTTTGGCAACGCTGGCATCCATACGTGAGCTTCCTTTACGGCTCGACCTCATCATCTTTAAACTACGTTTCCAAGAAATTCTCAACGACCTTAAATCGGTTTGTCAAATGATATTCGATACGAGCAATATATTTAGAGAAGTTAGGCACAACTTTGCTTTAAAAATCACCTTTCGTTAAAGCCTATTTGTATTAAACAGTTGTGAGAAAATTGAGCCAGTTGTTAACTTCCTGTATCCTTCTGTTTACACTCAATTGGCCAAATACTTGTTTTGTTGCCCACATTTATTTGGTTTCTTCTTAAGATTATGTTTTTCTTCTCAGTATCAAGAACCGTAAAAGATGTTGTCATACTGATCTTGTTCTTTTCTCGTTTGATGTGTTTGCTCCTATCGCCTGTCCGTCCATTGATCATCGGGTGACGCGAACGGATGCCATCAAGGTTTCCAATAGTTCTGCATTCCGGAATTGCCTAATGGCTCTGCTAGTTCATGGGTTATAAAGAAAGGTTATAATTTGCTTCTAGGATCTTGGTGAAGACGTCTGAAAATCGCAGAAGTGGTCTTCTTCAGATATGCTTGTAATTCCATGAGACTGTTCATTCATCATTATTATCATTCGCGATTGTCTACTGGTTGTCTTAAGACGCTTTACATGCGCCTGATTTTTAACTTATCAACGTATTAGACAGTACCAGGCAGTGCACTTGGCTTTAGTCGTTGACATAAGACGTGATTTCTTTCTGGTTTGTTGGAGACGGGGTACTCTAGTGCTACAAGTTCTGTAGCTCGTTTGATAACATCACCGATCTATCATCATCTGTTTTTTCAAAGAATTTTTCAAATTCAGCATTTTTTAATCCGGTTAAGGCATACCAAACATCTATTGCATTCCGGCCATATTTTTAAAGGGTTATAATCTGGTTATAATCTGTCGTGCTGAACAATTTTTGATACTCGGTCTGCGGTGTCTCATGAATGTTTTTCATTCAACGATCTGTCACTCTTAAGAGGCTGACTTGGGAGAAGATTTTTTCGACGACATTCAACCAGCAGATTGCGCCATGATTGCCGATGTTCTGAGGACCCGTTTTTTGTGCAAGAGGATGGTTTTGATAGTCTTCCATTTGTTTCGAATATTACCAAGAAGTGTGTGAGGACGAAAACCAATGTTGTGATGACTACTTGCAGAATGCTCTTCAGATGTTTGAGCCCTATCCTATCAGAGGCGGGTGTTGTACGATTATCCACAGAAGAAATAGTATGTTCAGTCTCGGAAGGGGGAACTGGTCGAACAATATATCCATTTTCCTTAACTTCGTAATTCGAACAACCAACGGCCTAGTCGGACGCCGAAATAATAGCTTAGTCGTCGACGAAAGCGATGCCGATCCACATCTTTGCTACTGTAAACGTCCGATTACGTTGGTTCTTTGAAGGACTCTATGTTGCTGGTCAAACTCATGCGCCCACGCAATTGACTTCTCTTCTATCGCATGTTCCGAAAAGTAGTTTTTCGTATATAAAAACAGCTTTTGAAAGGTGGCACATTTCTTCTAATTCGAATCATTATACTTATTCATCTTAGCTTGCATCGCCGAGATCTCAGTGGAGTGTTCAACTGCTACTATGCCTCCTTTTTTAGTTAGGAATGATTATCATAGTTCTGCTGGGATGGTCTTGAGATATTTAGCATTATCCCAAGACCCATCTGCCGTATTGAGAGCTCTTTTTATTGTCGCAGGGACTGGACACCTTGTGCTTATCGTGTTAGGCTATTAGCACTCACAGAATTATTCCGACGTTCTGGGGTTGGTGAGGCCATGCTAACAAAGAGACTTCCGTGCTTTCCCACAGCAACAATGAGGCTTATTTGTTGAAGACGACTCCGAGCCACGTTCCATGCTTTTATACAATTTGTTGCGTAAGTAAACCACACCATGTACTCATAATGGGACAGATGTGTAGGGGAACATATAGAAGGTACATGTCAATGCGACACAAGAGATATTCCATTTCCTAGATTGACATACGTATCGGGGCAAGTATGGAATCGGCTTTTATCCACATCTTACTCCTTGTCAGCCACAGTGGGCACCCCATATGTCCTCATGGCTATCTCTGTGGGAGTCCTTCAATGAGAAAATCTACTTCGTTAATATGATTTGTTTGCGTTCTGTGGATTTCAAGTGGCTGAGCAGCTATTTCCCTTAGTGATCAAAAATACGATTAGTTGCAGAATCTGCTGGTAACTACTATATTTAGTTTTTATGCCTTAAGGGGATTTCATCGGTTATGGAAGCCTGCGATGAGATTAGACGTTCAAAAGGATTCAAAACTTTTCTCGAATTAATACTTCTGTTTGGAAACTACATGGGCCAATCATCGAAGACGTATAAGGATACGTTCGCATTCGAGATGTCCGTGCTTACGAAAGTAAGAAAATTTGTTTCCCAAGTTTAATGTGCTGTGTAATTATATCCGAGAGAATATTTTCTAGCATTCTAAGTCTGCTTAATCCCACTTCAAAACCCTTCCATATTTTTTAAATCGTGTTGATTCAGCTTACGGATGTGAAAGATGTCGATAACAAGTACACACTTCTGCACTACATGGTTGATTGGATGAGGAAGCATGACGTTAATAATGCACGGTTAGTGGTTAAATCGTTATTTCAGTTGTGATGTGGTTTTTTTGTTTTCGTTCCAATACGGGTTTGTTGTAATACTTAGGAACAGGCCCTATGTTTTTACATGTTGACCGACCTTGTTTTTTTGCATTTACCACTGACCTTTCCCTCCTATCTCACATACAGCTTACTAAGATCACGGTACTCATAGTTATGACTTGACACCTTTTCGATTGTTATGAGGCTTCAAAGGCAGTTGTCACCGAATTCGACAAGATTTGCATAAATGTTTCTCTCAAAAATCATGAAGACCATAAATTGAGGTTTTGGTGATTAGTGTGAATTCGCCAAATTAGCTCTCTCCCAAATCAGCGGTTAATCTTTGGGGAATGCGTCATGCCGTTGACTTAATCAAACATCATAGAGGTAGCTAAATTCATATGAAATCTTTACAATGACTTGTGACGGCCAATCGATGTGTCAACTCGGCTCTACTATCTCTGCATGCAGATTTGGTAGCAATTTGTCGACCCCGAAGAGAGGACAGGCTTGGTGGGCCTGAGAGGCGGGATCGTAACGGCAATCATTCCATTGTGCATTATAGTACATCTCTGACCGCTGTGCTACACGCACTCCATATGATGATTATTTGTATCAAATCTAGCAGTATCGGAGCCAAGGACTTTTGTCTCTGGATCTAATTGAAGACAACGAATGAAGGGACTGTGGTTTTGGACCGGCTCTAATTTTCTCAAGCATCTACACACACGACAGACCTTAAGAACTAATTCGAAAATGAACCCTGTGGTTGATTGGACAATTTTCCGAATTCGTGCTTGCTCACCTGCTGGAATATCAACATTATCTTGCAGATTCGTACACGAAGACTTTTATCACTGTGTAGCAGCTTCAAGGGTGAACGCAGATGAACTGGCGAAAGGAGTGACGGCTCTTCGACAGAATGTAGCGAAGGTAAGTAATAGCTAGTGCATATTTTTTATGAATTAGTACGTTTATTAATTTAGTTGGAAAAATGTCTTGACTCATACAAGGAACAAAGCGATGAAGATAGGTTCGCTGAAGTAATGGGTCCGTTCCTCGCAAAGGCGCAAAGCGAACTATCCACAGTGGAGACGGTTAGTTTATTCCTTCTGTTTACTTCTGTGTACCTTCTTGCTGAGCGTTTTTGTTATATTGATTACAGATGTACAGCAAAATGAAATCTGACTGGGCTAGTTTCACGAGATTCTATGCGTTCGATGAAAAAAAGTATCCGCTGGAACAATTTTTCGTTGACATGAAGTCGTTCAAAGAACACTATGAGGTACTGTGTACGTTAATATCTAATAATACCCTTTGGTGTTATGTTTTCACTTCAATAGTGCACTGTCGTCATTAACGAGGACTCCATCAAGAAATCCATCGTAATTTAAACGGTCCATCTACAGCGCTGAGATCGGCAGAGACCAACACAAATGTCATGATTTACTGATAAGCTTACACGAGGTTGCTGTAGATCTTTATTATGACTAACAGTTCAGCAGAGTGTGCGCAGCAGTAATTTTTTTGCGAATTGGGTCTTCGTATTAGGATCGAATCTAGTGCAATGGGCTTGTGCCCTCGTTCGAATCATTGCAGCTTTGAAGAAGGCAATTCCGACAAAACAGCCACGACAAAGGCTTACGACAATTTTTTGTTATTAGTAGGTTTGTCAACAAACCGAGATGGCGATTTTCAACGCCGACGCTAAATGAAGGTCATTATTGAACATAAGGACTGATTTAATGGAAGCATGTTTCGTTTTTAAGTTAGTCCACTGCTGGGAGGAACAACCCATGAAGTGGATCATCAAAGTCTTAATACAACTCCGAAACGGATGTGACAGCGAATAAACGCTTTACATCAGCACTGTTAAATTAATTTTTCAACATCTACTAGTTTTTCGAGGACCATTTGTACTTTTTGCCAACTCGAATATCTTCCAAAAGCAATGGTAGAATACTTTGAGCGAACGATATTTGTTTATTGCAAGTGTAACTGTTTCTGTAGCTCGAATAGGCGAGGAATGGTTTGACGACATATGAAGTCTTTTTTCGCTTCTGCTTTGAAAAAAAGGCTTACGAACACCTTAAAATGCTTATTTCCCGAATTTTAAGTTTGTGTATGGTGCCGCGCCCATCAACCAAATCTGTTTACATCTACTTTTCGTCTATTGCTTGTAAATTCTCGCTTGGAATCTGAGCTTTGCAAATATCTCAGCATCATTGTAGTTTGGGATTTATTTAACTTTTTTTTTAAATTTTATTTTACGTGACCCGTCTTCACGTTTACTGTGCGGATCCCAGCACTTCTTACATTCGATTCGTTTCCTCACGTCCACTGTCCACGAAGATCTTCCAACTTTTACGTGTGGCTTCGGTCGCTGCTTGAGGATGTTCATTCCATCTTGAACGTCGTAGAATGCTGGTCGAGACGGACTGGAGCGTTTCCAACTGGATTGCTGGCAGTGATTTTTCCTAGACAAGTCCGGTGCCAATTTCCCGACCACGGAGTTATGGGAGGCTTGGCTGGCCCAGAGCAGAATCGAAGTAGCACCATGCTCGTGATGACGGACATCACTACCATCGTGCTATCCGTCCCTGAAATAATTTAGTAGTTCTGTTTTATACTACCTTTACAAAGAATCAAATTAGAAACCGGTTATTGATGTGGAAGCGACACTGCTTGCACTTTCAACTTCAGCAAAAAGCGAAAAAAACGTTTGAATGTTAATGGAGTGTTTGGATTTCTCGGTAAATGATGGCATGAATGAATACAGTATTACTCATTTCATCTGAAATAATACTGTACATTGTTAGTACCTAGCAAGTGTTCAGGCTGTGTATCGAGAGTTGGAGACAGAAAGGTTGAAAGCGGAAAAAGATCGCGAAACTAATGCGAAGTTGAAGCGTAGTTTAGCCACACCTTCTATCAAAAATCAGCCTACCTGTCTTGGTATTGCCGCCAGTAGACTTCAAACAGGTATGTATTCACATTATATTCCAAGCTTGTGAAACGAATTCTGCTTTGATCTCAATAGTCTCTGATTTTGTTCTCCTCTTTGTCAGCTGTTGATTCACCTGGTGTATTGGACGAGCTCGATAAGATGATGGCTGGAGGAGGTTTGGCGAAGTTCTTGCAAGGACCACGAACACCTCGTAATGTGCCTGTGGGACGGACCAAGACTGGTGCGTAATTTGTCCATTTTTAAGTGCGTTTTTTAACCCAATAAATTTCAAAACCAATTGTTTACTAAGTTAAAAGCTTTCACAGTTACTGAGTATCGATATTTGCCCATTAAAAAGCGAGCCGCATGGTGAAATTTGCGAGGATTTTCAGTTTTTTTTCGTTCTTTACTTTGTTTCTCTTTTCTGCCTCAACTTTATGTTTGGTCTTTATTTTCTGTGCGATTTTCCTATTCATTTCAAGCTAACCACTTATTCGGTTCTGTCAGCATTCAGGTCGTGCTGCCCTACAGCGCCAACGGTCTCGTGGAGCAGATGTTGTCCTCCGTGAGGCACTTGGCGAGAGTGAGGGTGAAATAAATACGGCTCGAGTGCCATTGTCAGTTCTCCCACCAGCCCCTGAGAAGGTTCGAATTCGACGGAAAGGTGCCCCTACAGTAGAGGTGTGCGCTACATTTGCACAGCATGTGCTTCTCATTTGTTCACATGGGTTTTATGGGATTGTGCGTATTATTTGGTGCAAGCTTTCTATGTTACCCTTCGGTTTTTTTCAAAATTTTTGTCTCATTGAACAGCTTTTACTTTCCACAATTCCGGTATATGAAGTTTACGGTTTAGATGATTTTATAATAAAGATTGTCCTTGAAATGATAATGGTCCTTCGTACTCAAGCGCTTCCATAAAGAAGTACTTTGAGCGCGATAGCTATCTCAATTACTACAAATCTTTATGTAGATGGAAGTTCAAAGCTTTGGAAAATAAAGGACTGGCTGTCACCATTTCATCCAGCTTTATTACCTTTTAAGATGGAGCAGTAGGATTTGAGTAGTTTTATGAATAGTTAAATAGCGTTATTACATAATGAGGGAAATTCTCTTTTCACAGTGTTTCTTCTCCCTTTTTTCTTGTCGTTCTGTTTGCGATTGAATGAGTTTGATGAGTGTCTATTTCATGTTCTTGGACAGAAATTGTTGCTGTATGAGCTCAACATTTTTCAGGTGGCCTTAAGACCGGCTAAAACATCGCCCACACATAAGGAGAATGGCGGAGCATTACCAACAACAGAAGACTTGCTGGCTCGGCTTCAGCAATACTAAGATGCCGAGGCAGTGTCGTCGTTGTATTATACTTCTTAATTGCCGAACTAGTACTTCAAAAGCTTCCTCTTCATTTTTATACGTTTTTGTGAGGAGTAACATTTGCCTATAACAAGCCACTCGTTAGTCTTCTTGTTGTATTCGAATCAGAACTGTTTTGACCATTTTCACTCGGTATTCTTGCTCTTGCCCTCTGTGTTACATATTCACTTAATGACGGGGTGATTCCTACGTTACCTTACACAAAAGTGAACTAGTCGAATATTGTATTCGGGTTTTCCATACGCAGAAAGAGTGTTCAACCTCTGCTGCATCTTGCCTATTGTCAAATCTGTTGTCGATTTTTGATTTAATGTTGATTATTGTAGTATAATGAAAAATGCAAAGTAAATAGAATTTGAACCACGTGGAATCTGTTAGCTTTTTAGATAGACCAAAATCATCTGCCTTAATTCCACACATGACGTCGAGCCATTCTCCGTATATCTTGCGGAAACGACACATCTTCATTGAGTATCTCCAGAAAGAGATTACTGTTTATCAGAGGATGAAATAACAATTCTGTAGACGAAGTTGTTCTTACGATATTGTCTGGGCCATTTAGCTGGTGTCAAACTTGAGCAGGGTTCTGATTTTAAGTCCTTTGCTGTGAAACATCTTAGCACACTGAAGAAAACACATTGACATCAGCTTTGAAGCGGCTCAATCCTGCGACAGGTTAAAAAGCTCGAGGCAGATGCATTAGTACATGGAACTTTGCAGGTTTTGTTAGGACCAAATCATTTACAAGATGAAAAAGGACATTCGAGTAAAATTTTTGCGCAACGGGTGAATTGTTCTCGTTACACTAATCAAAAACTGAGGAAGAAATGAGTGAGGTTTACTACCTAAATCCCCCAAAACTCTTTAACGTGGAGTGATAGCGAGTAATACAGTGTTTCTTGGTCAATCCACTGCTACTGTTTAAAAGTCTCGGGAAGACATCATTTGAAGCTAAATTGTTCTTCTAAACACACAGTAGACGTTCGTCGAGTTGTCATGGAGCCGAAAAGACCTAAGTGAATATTTCAAGCACTAGATTGTTCGAAATTTAATGCAGATTTTATTTTGGCTTTATTTTCCTCTATATGTTTATCCAATAATTTTTTCTTTCTCAATCAAATGGCACTTGTAGCGCAGTTGTTAGAGGCACCGTACAATACACATAAGTTCGAATCCGCTTCGTAGGCTCACCAAGCCTTCCATACCTACGGGTGGTCAAATTGGTACCAGACCAGTCTGAGTGGATAGCAGCACTGATACAATAAATCGATACGGTATCTCAAATCATTATAACGGTCAGATACGCATTCAATCACCTTTACGGTTCTTTATGAAGCCGAATGCATCACACATCCTTGAGGGATTGACCAAAGCCAACGGCTTTGTCCCTCATTTTTGTATGCAAGTGCAGAGCTTATTCTATGGATTTTCGCTCTGTATAATTCAATAGTAATTAAATCGTTGTATCGTTGGCAAGTTTTTTGGGTGCAAGTTGACATGAGCTATTTTTACGTTTTTTCGCGAAGTCAAACTCGGTCGAAATGCGGTGAAAACGGCACGAAAAATTAGCAAGAGATGTGGCCTAGGAACTCTTAGCGAATGCATGGTGCGACCTGCGTTTCGAAAATTTCGTCGTGGTGAATTCAATCCGATGAAAAGATGAAGGAAGTCGCAGGCAACGATAATGATGAATTGAAGGCTTTGGTGGAAGCAAACGCATGCATTAATCCAGAACTCACGGAACAACTCGACGTAGGCATCTAAACCGTTTTGGATCATCTAAATAACATTGGGAAGTCGAGGAACAACGCGGCCACACATCGCATCACGAACATTGAAATGACTGAGAAAGCCGAGAAACGAATTTTGTCTCATCCACCAGCCCTCTCACTTATCGACTTCAACTATCACGACGAAGAGCTGCAACTGAATGTTTCAGAAATGAATCTGGAGTCCAAACTGCCTTCAATGACTTCATCGCCCCCACAAGTCTAGAGGTTTAAACAACCAGCAAAAATAAATTTTTGTTGGTAAACATGTGTGAAGCCTCTAACTTCTAATGTCGATTAATACAGTTTATTCTGAGCTGATGTATGCCACTTTGAAAGTACAGGTTGAAATCTACCATTAATTTCCAAACAGCCTAATAGAAGTACAAATTCCTTAAGAACACGCCATAAGGCATCGCTTTCACTATAAAGACTATTGAATGCATATTTGTCCTATGCAATGACTTCCGAGGCCACACCGATGGCTGCAGATCAAGGCACCTCGTTTCTATTGCAAGACACACCTACAGTCGCCGCAAGCGCAGTAGGGTCATTGTAAGTCATGTGATTCATGTTTATTTTTGTGGAAAGCCTTCTGTACCAACAAAAAATCTTCGCTGATTCAAAAATCTGCCGAAGACGACATATAGCATCAGATGACATGAACAGTCGTCAAAAGTGAACCGTTGAAATGAATGGCAAGACTATGCACTTGGAAGAATGGTGATCCTGATCTGAGGTACAAAAAGGATAAAGCTCTCCGCGTTGATCAACCCCTGAGGGATGCGCCATGCATTCGACTTCATCAAGCATCGTTTTCATCAAGCACTTAGAGATACTTCGATGAACACATGGTGATGGGTTCGTTCTCTTGCCCTGGACCAATGCAGCTATTCATCCTTGTGCGGTCGACAAATTGGTACCACATTTGTTCGGAGGTATAGAAAACTTCCTTGATATATTGAACAGTCACCGTGAGTCACTGAATAGTCCAAGTATGCATCCAGTCAGCTCCACGATGCTACGAATGTAGTCGAATGCATGGTGCATTTCAATGGTTCCGCTCCCCAATACCGTGAGCTCTTGAAGGAGCCGCCTATCATAGTAATAATGACAAATATCACCGCCTGACCCCAGGATCCAGGCGAGGACAATCCACTGACATAGCACTCACCGAAAGTGCTAACGAGCTCCACGTTATCTCCAATACGCAGTTAGGGCGTGTGTCCTTCATCGGTATCACTAACTGCATCACCTTCCTGGTTTATGGAAGATGTGGAAGAGGTCCAGGCACATTCCAATGCATTGACGGATGCATTGAAGATGATGTGATTTTACAATAAACTGTGTCTAAGATAGGGAATAATGAGAACGCCAAAGCAGGCCAACATCTAAAAAGAAACTTTTTCCGATGAGAACAGAACTAGAAATTCTATGCTTACTTTCTATGACGAGGAGGTAACTCTAAAAGCTACGCTATAAATCATATTTGAAACCTTTATTCTCCCAAAAACCAGTCACGATTCTCTTCATCGAAATCATCATTTCGACAAAACATGATGGCTTTTTGCGTCCGTCCTCCTATTTCCGCTACGTTGTTTATTTCTTGTACGGTAATAAAATTTCAACATTTTGGCGCATACTAGTGTCAGAGACATTTCAAAGAAGTAGTGAAACCAGTTTAAACAAGGAAGTAAAACAATTATTTCTAGTGATATGTCAATTAATGAAAATGTCTTTCGCTTTGACTTCTATACACTGTCTATTTTCATCATGGCAAGGTGTGATGTAAGATACAATCACGGGAATACTGAGTTATTAGTAAAACTCGGATCCTCATTTGGACTTCGGACTTGCGATTTCCCTTTCGAAAGGTCACATGTTATCCACCACACCAACCGAAGCCCTTGGTTTTGCTTTCTCTAAGCCATGTTTTTGCTCTATCTGTGCTATCAGTAATCACCCGTGAACGGGAATGATTTGGGGAGAACAAATCAGCATTGAATCCAGTTAAGCTGGGACTGAAGGATTGGCTGAAAAACATGGCTGGGAGAAAGGCAAAGCAAGTGCCTCGGTTAGCGTGGTAGACAACACGTGTGGGGCACCTGGTAAGGGTAATTGCGGGTTCGAAGCCCGTCTGAGGATCTGGGTAGAGCTAAATCCTCAACATCTCAATGATGGTATTTTGTGTCGTCCAGTTTGTCTAAAACTCTCCAGAGATATTGCACAATTTTAGGGAACTTATACAATTTCACGATATCCCAACGTAGAGTGTGAATCAGAACTTGCATCATCTTTGTATTGCGTCAGACTCCAGGACCATTTCTAAAAAATACCGAAGCATCGTCTCTTGTCGTCGAAATTCCGGCCCAAAAGCGATGTCGTCGTCGTCGAGGCCCTATCTCCGACGTCTCGTCGCCTTTTCGACGAAATCACACTGTCTTCAGTACTCTCCTCGTTTTCTTCTCTAATATCATCTGTGACAAATACATTATAACGTGGCACGTCTGGTATTGATGTCGGCTGTATGACGAAGTGCATATCCTTGCACTGTCTCGTTCACCAAAGCCAGTTCCTTTCCTTTGACATCACGTGACAACTGCAAGGTCGGACAGGCTCGAAGTTTGCAGTAATCAAAAGAAACAAAAAAAAACCAGCGCTAAGTTGAAGCTTCTCACCTTTATAAATCTTGAGAAATAAGACAACGAAATAACCGGCACATAGTTGAAGTTGTTGACGGAGCACGTTCGGGATTTTCATACATCATGTGGCTTGGTAACGAGGTCTTGTTTGCTCAACGATATCATCGTCTTCCTAAAAACCAGTTTTTTTCTTACTGCCTTATCAGTTCTATATTGGACGGTGTAAACACGCGGCGCTCGATTAATCGATAGCGGGAAAGATACTATTTCACTGAGATCACCGTCGAAAAAATTGAAGCATGAGCTTGGCAGCATCGGTCTCGCGGTCACAGTTATCGTCTATCCAGAACTGTCATAACCGAAAAAACGACCTATGCGTCTAGACGATTTTCCGAACACTCATTGATATCGTCGTTTCGGCCGTTATCAAGCCGTCGTCGACCTTTCGGTCGTATTTCGACGACATAGTGATCACGAGAGATAAAGTGCCGCCTACCGTCGGATTCGCCCTCGTGGTCTGTCAACAGGACTCACCCACACGGCAGGCAGAAGAGCATGGTGAGTGCTTCTTGCTTGACATCTGACTTCTATGCTTTTATGCGCGTTAAACTTACAGTCCATCAACGGTGAAACAAGCTCGAAGCTGAACGGAACAGTCGTCGGTTTCGATTATATCAAATTCATTGTCGGAAATGCCAAGCAGGTGAGTGCTTTGTCTACTTGTTTCCGTAAATGGAGCGCCTTTAATTCTCTTCTTACCGTCAGACCATTTATGGCCTATCCTTTGATCGAAAGGTGCAGCGATGAACATAGGTAGTCAAATCTCTTGACCTCACAACCGAAGCTCGGTGAAAATTTCGTTTATCACGATGAGAAATAGAAAAAGTAAGAACTCTTGGATTTCCAAATGGTGCATGTGTTGAAATTCTGCTAACATTCTGAGTTAAATGCACGCATTCCGACAGGACATTGTAGCCGAAGCAGTCCTGTCCCATCACGAAGTGCTGCAGTAGCCTTTCGGAGTTTCCTCCTAAAGAATTCGTCAAGTAAACTTGCCTTTACACCTTGCATTTATTTGAATTCTTATATAACCTTTTTTTCTTTCGCACATTTTTTTTTCACATTTTACGATTTTTCTCACACATTGTTTTCATTTCACTTCCGTTCAGGTCAAAACAAAAAAATTCCCTAAATACAACTTAGCAGTCCGCAGTCATACGTACCATTCGGCGAAATCAGTGGAAAAGTTTCTTGTTATTTCCGTTGTTTTCCTGTCATTCTCCTACTCGTTTTTCTATTTATAGGCCAAGTTTACCACTTCAAGTAGGTCTTTTTGAGCACTTGATTCGACTACAGATTACAAGTGGCATTAACATTTAGCTTATCGATTAAAAAAGACATTAACAGTTAGAGTCCGATTTGGGCGGATTTTCACTCATACCTAAGGGTACGTCCGCATTGGTCGATGCGAATTGATATCGACTCATTTTCTTTTCGGTTCTAGCCTATTCTGCTGCACAGGAATTTTTTTGCACCATGCCTTTCATATTTATTCGAGTTCATCTAACACAAACCACTGCGTTGGACGAACGAATTGAAAATCCACTATTTACTCTTAACATTTTGCAAGAAACTGTCCGTTGTTCGAGCTTGTCCAGCAATCTACCAAGACATTCTAGGTGGTAGATATGACTCGAATATTGGAAAACAGAATGGCGGGCATGGGTTAATGTCAATTCACAACGCGTGCAAAAATAAAATTACGCACCTAGTAGATACGGCTCATGCAGAAGTTTGGTGTCCGACTCTAAGTGTCAGCATTTGTGTTAACAGCATAATGAGAAATGAGAGGAATGATAATGATAATAGAATACCGCTAGATTCTGGCTTCTGTAAAAATTGTTTGAGAACTGATTTCACCTTTGTGTCTTCCAATTTCGACGATTTGTTTTCAAGTGGAGCGCATCCTTTGCTCTAGTTCTTGCCTCTTTACCTTTTAGGTTCATCTATGTTGAGTTATTTCTCTTACATTTTGATTGACCCATCATCACATCTACTCTGCGGATTTCAGCACTTCTTGCCTTGTGTTAGTTTTTTCCTCCCACTCATTGCTCACAATTGGCTTCAAACATTTCGCGAGTTGCTTCAGCTGTTACTTGAGGATTTATTCTTATTTATGAATACCGTAGAATGTTGGTCAAGTCAATTCTTTTCGTAATCTTGGAGATCGCCGAGCTAAGGCGTTGCCACGTGGACTGTTGGAAAGTGGTGGGCCGGAGATTGAAGTGGCGCCTTTTAGGTCAAAGTAGAAGAGCTGATATGAGCACCAAAGAAATGGGCAGAGTGCAAAAATTTCGTCGTTGTGAAATTCGTAGTGCACTAATTTTTATCACAGAAGCCGTCCGTTTCTAATTATATTGTGGCTTCCAGTGAAACGTTTATTCCGCAATACAACAGACGACGTTCAGTACAAATTGAAGCGTCGAAACCCTCTCCCTGAAGCCCAAGACTTCGACGAAACACATCATGAACTGTAGCTTCGGTAACTGAGTAATCAGAATGAACTATTCCGCTTCGTTGCGTGATCAAACGTGGCCCAACCAAAACTGTATGCTTTACCAGCTAGTCCGCGGATTTCTTCCTGAGCGGCCGCAGTTCGTGGCATTGGTTTTCTCCAAGATGGGCTTTCCTGAGTGCTTGAAAGCTTCCTTTCTCTAGGTAAAAAAATTGTGCGGGTACCAATGCAACCAATTTCCATTGTAATAATATAGTAATATAATAATTAAGAAGTGTGGCAGTATAATTCAAAAACATCATAACATAGCATTGTAGAATAAAAAATTGAAGAATAGGAAGTGGAAAAGTGTTGAGGCAGTTACCTTTTTTTCGCTGAACAACTCACCTTTTTGATGAACGCATTTTCTAGGCAGCTTTCTGGTACTGTGCCAACTTCGCCTTCGAGCCATTCGCCTATCGTGGACTGGAAACCGGCAGCCGTCTGTTGGCCCAACATGTCGTGAAGCAGAACAATGTACGGCTATGTGCTTTGTGTTGCTATCATCTGCATACTCGTCCTCTTACAGATAGTCTTCATCTTCGAGTCGGCACTGCTACCTGGAAACAAGGAATTTGGGGATCACCTTGTGCGTCACGGTGATGGTGTGAAGGACATTTGCTTTGAAGTAAGATTTCATATTCATGGAATTCACCATTTAGCGAGTGATACTGTTTTTCATCAGTTCCAATTGACTGACATTGGAACTGCTTCTGTGTTCATAGCTCTTATCTTTCGCCCAGGGTTTTTGTGTCAGTCACCTCTGCTCACCACTAAGCATTTCAAAAACGCCGAATGTGGAACAGTTATTTGAAAGAAGTCCTGAGTAACCTATGCTTGTAATTTTACCAAGTTCATTTTTTTTTAGTTCTAGAAAAGACGAAAACACCCGCTGTCATCCATAACATTCTTGGTGTGGTACCCGAAAAAGTGCCAGAAAGTCAAGATGTGAATGCAAGTAAATAGATGTGCAATTTAGAATCGGCACACTGGGAGCTTCCTTATTCTTTTTAAGTTATAGGCTATTAAATGATCTGTTTTCGGAAGAAAGTGCTTTTTACCAAGTGGTATCAGCTAGCTTCACAGAAGCGGTTCCATGTATTGCACGTGCTCCAACTGAGCTTGTAAACAACGCCTACAAGTGTTGATTCATGAACGCAATCTACATCAAGTTTGTCGAGAAATGTACAGATCGCGTCGCATGTTTGGGCTTTCTAGAGGATATGATATCTGAGTGCTATTTCACGGGAGATACCCTTCTCTGTCATTGAATTCCCACGTTGGGAGTTTTTCAAAAGGGTTTTTGCCTTTAAGAGAGGAACCGACTCTTCTCCGTTGGAGGGTGCTGCCTGTGGAAGTATTGCAGGATCCTTTGCTGTTGCAGCAACTACACTCTTCGATGTGGCGAAAACTAGGATAATGCTTTCTTACTCAGAGAAAACACCCTATCATATTATGTACACTGAAATAAGTATGCTTTTTCACAGTCTCATCGTTTTCTTATGTCAGCTTTTCGATACTGCCAAAATCGCACATCTATTTACGCTCAGGTGTATTCACATGCTAGCCTTCTAGCGCTTTTTTGGGGCATTACGCCAAGGGTATTATGGATGGCAGCTGGTGGTTTCATCTTTGGTGCTTATGAAACCGTTCTTGCACTTTGGTACTGGGCATGTTATGATAAGAAGAGTTCTAGTGAGTTGTGAGAACGAAGAAAAAAACATGCTTTGTTTTTCTTTACGTGCTTTATTTTTAGCCATTTTGATTAAGCCGTATCTTATAATAATTCTGACAGTCATAAAGAAATGCAAAAACAAAAAATGGCGTCACGTGCGTCATGTTGTTCCGTTCCAGGTTGACGATGTGGTTTCAATTCTTGAACATGCGAAGAAGGCAGGCGCCGTTGTGGTGAAGGACGTGACCGAGGAGTCAGACGAGCACGGCTCAATTAAGTACGCAGTTATCAAAACGGTAATGATTCCCACATCTCAGCAGCAACGACTACTGAGCTAAGTGGCTGTGATTTTAGTACGGCGACACTGTTCACACTCTACTTGAAAAGAAGAACTACCACGGCTTCTTCTTGCCCGGATATAAACCACATCCACAGAGCAAAAAGTTTTTCCAAAGTTTACCAGCGGTATGTTATCTCCAGAGCTTTTATGTTGTTTTGGCTCTTAGATAGTGCTTAGTGCAATGTAAGTTCCAGTTATGATCAAATAACTCTAAATTCGAACTTAGCTTCAATCAGTTAAATTTCCGTCCTAAAGTGGTTATAATGAGAAATTGTTGGATCACTATTGTAATTCAGTGAGAAGGACGAATTCACGTCGGCTGTTTCGGTGATATTATTAAGGAAGCATGGATTTCAGAGTGTTTGTGTGCTTGATTTTTAAGCTCAATTACTTAGTCATCCTCATCATATGCCTCGCTTTCAAGCATCGGACGTTGTTTGATCTTAAGTCTATTCTGAATTGTTAATGAAGCGATAGAACATTCACATGATACACCGGTTTGTTGAAATCTTCTGACGTTTCATCTGCTTCTACTTTCTCCAAGCAATAAAACAGTCATGCTGCTAAAAAGCTTATTCAATCAATGATTTTTTTTAGTCAAACAGTAAAGCTCTACTCCTGTCCTAATTCTACGCTGAAGTGGACTTAGACCTCGAGAGTGCTTCATTCCTACGCCTGAATTTTAGTTCTTATTCTAAAATATTCATCAGTGTGATTTTGCATCGCGTGAATAACTGTTACAGTGTTCCTTCATAGAGATGCCAAGAGACCTCTTTCCATTCCATAAAAGAAGTCGAATAAATTGGTTCAACCTCATTTTACACTGGGCGCGCATGTTGCTCAGTGGTTGCAGGTACCCAGGTACAGGTGCATCTGTTATATTTGGTTCGATCCTTCACAACGGAAGGATAAAGTTTTCCACTTCTGTGGGCAAGTGTATTCATGCCATACTTGCTTGTAAAAATAAAGACACTTATTAGAACATTAGGACACATTAGCCCTTGGAAAGGGTAATAAACCGCAGACACTACTTTGCAAATAACTCACAGGTTCTATTTCCAGTTTTACGATTTCTTCACAACTAAATGGGACTAGATTAGGAAGAAAACAGAAATAAAAGGGTCACCTTTCTAAACAACCTCTGTAGGAACGAATTTCTACTGCTTCTCATACACGAACACTTGATAATGTGGCCGTTCCATAAGAGGCATATTCGGACGTTCACTAGCGGATATCAGTTGTATTTCGTAGCTGTTGAATGAATTCTCTCACTTGCTGGAAGCTCAGTAAACGATTAGAAACCTCACTGTTTATCTATTGTCTGTGATATGAAACTGATGTTGAGCAAGCTGCCAGATCCACACGACCCTTGTTTTACACTTATTTTTGTTACCTGGTCCAGCGTCACGTGTATCACTATTCGGATCCCAGCACTTCGTCAGTTCTTCTTGTTTTTCTTGAATCTATCTTCCACGAAGGCCATAAACTTGGATTCCCTTTTTTTTGGATTCGGAAGTTTGCTGTCTGAGGATATTTTTGTCGTCGTCACGAATTTTCATAAATGCAGGTCGAGTCGATTTCTCGTAGAATCCCGAGATAACTTTGCTAGGGCGCTCTCACGCTGACTAGGAGTGCGCTTGTCGTAGACAAGTCTAGTACCACTTTACCGGTTCCAGGTCGAGTAAGTTGGGTTCTCCGCTTAGTGATCGGGATCACTAGCACTTCCTTATCTTCTCACTTCACGACTCTTTTAGGGTCCAAAAATGTCGAGGTCTTCCACAAGATTATATGTGTTTATCCTCGCTTGCGATGCGAAATGCTAAAAAGATTCAGACTTGTTGGTAGAATATCTTGAAAGTTGATGTCATACCGAGTGTTCGTTACATGCGAGTTTTCTTCATAATCAGAAAATACTTTCCTCGATTATTAAGTTAGCACGAGGTTGGTAAAAAAAAAAAAGATTTATTCGGCTAACATTCGACATTTTCGTCTTCTTCAGAGCCAAATTAATTCGAGTCGATGGTCAGCAAATTGTCGTCCTGCGGTATCTTAAGATAATCAAAAAATAATTAAACTTTCTAGCAGATTCGGTAACGGAGAACGTGATTTGCTGAAAATGAACGATGAAAGCCGCTGGTTGGGTTTTTCTGGAGTTTCTTGGCAAGAATGTAATGGTGTTAAGTTCACGATTGCTTTCAGGTTGGTCTGAACTTCATAGATCATTGCGTTGGAAATCAGCCTGATCTTCAGATGACGCCGGCCGTCGAATGGTACGAGAAGGTGTTATGTTTCCACAGGTGAACAAATTGGCAGATTGATTGATTTTTTCTATGGTTATACTCCTTTAAAAACATTAAGAAACCCCATGCCGCCGTTGCTCTTGTTTAATGTCTAAAACGAGGGGAGACCTGGTAAGTATAAGGAGCCATCTTTGCGGGGTTTAGCTACCGTATATCCTATGTCGGCGCACACATTAATGTTCTTTTTATCCTTGGAAAGGTTTCGGGGACTACTTGAGTTACAGTAGGAAACAAGCGTCCTTATAACGTTTTCAATCAGGCAAGTTTCTGTGTGATTTCACGTAAACCACATTAATCCACAGCTGCTGAGTTTCTTTCATTAAATTCTCTATTGCCTTTCAATGAAAAGAAAGGCTAAATTTTCTTGACATGGTTGTTATAATTCATCAATAATTATTGGAGCGCGTCGCGTTTAGCGCAGTAGTTGGAGACGCCCTGTAGTGCAAAGTGGTTCTTGCTTCAACAAGTGCTCCTGTCTGCGAAGGCCATTACTCCGGAGTCGGCAGATTAATTAAAAATTTGTCTCGGAGGGTAGAAACACTGACTGAATATATGCAGTTATTGTGTAGGCCAGATGTGTATTCAATGAGCTAAATATTATTATTCTATGGTAACACTTTAGATTTTGGTCAGTAGACGACTCAATAATCCACACTGAGTATTCGGCACTGCGGTCAATAGTCGTCGCAAATAATAGTGAAGCGATAAAAATGCCTATAAATGAACCAGCAATGGGCAGGAAGGCGGTTTCTCAAATCCAGGTTAGTAAATTCAATTTCACAAACACTCCGAAAATTTTGCTAAGGAACATAGGAGGTTCTCTCTAACTAAAAGTTTTCAGGAGTTCGTCGATTATTACGGTGGCGCTGGAGTACAACACATCGCTCTGAACACTAACAACATCATATCGGCCATCGAAGCACTTCGAGCCAGGGGTGTTGAATTTCTCACTATTCCAAACTCCTACTACGACAATCTTAGAACACGGCTGAAGCAATCCGCCACCAAGGTTGGCTAATTTGCCTTTTCGGCTGAAATCCTGTGAAATCTGCAATCATGAATGGAAGGTAGAAGCAAACGTCTCACAAAATCTGGTAATATTTCCAACAACACCTCTATCTGAGCACAATGCTTCACTGCTATTTTTCCAAGTATTCGCTAACTACCCCGTTGATGCTTGCCCTGTTGGCATTGTTGTTAGTAAGACTTCCATTTGTCTTTTAAGGGCTCAGAATTGTTCAACGAGTTCTACTCGATAGAAGCGAAGAGCAGCGTGTTTTTAGTGGTATTCGCCTGGAAGAAATTCTAAAATTGTTCATGTAGTGATATTCCGTGCTCATGTAGTGTATATGTAGTGATATTTTTAATATCCTATGGATCTCAGTCGTTAGCGCATCTTTGCGCTGAGTGATTGTTCCTAAAACCCCACGTTTGTATTCCATCGCTTCGTTGCAGTCTAAGCGTAAGCGTAAGCGTCTTTGGTAATCGACAATGTGCAGAATCTCTGAAGCGTTCTTTCGCTAGCGCGATAACGGGGTACTCCTTGCATTGTCCTATCAGTAGCTTGTTCGATTACGCTGACTGATCATTCATCACGGTCAGGTCACGTAGAGCTCTGGTCTCCGAAGCATACGTGCCCTAAGGCCAGGAAGAATCGCGGGATTGTAATGATGAGCACAGAAGCCGGAAAATGCTGATCTGTTCGTTCCTTTGTGCTCTGCTCTGAGGATATTTCACTCATTATGTTGACTTGACCTAGAAATATATAGCAAAAATTCGAACGTATTCGTCTTTATGATCACGAATGCAACATGGGAACACAACTCCTCGTAAACATGGTGTTGCGGAAATCAGTTACCACTCATTCTACCTACTTAGTACTTTAAATTGCAGCGGCGACCTTGGAGAAAAGCGAAGACGGTGTAACTATAGGCTATCAACTTTTACTCCCATGCCAAACTTACAGTTTTCAGAAGATGTTATTTAACAGTGGCCTTAGCGGGTCTTTACGTAATGTGCACCAGCTTTTGATATTTAAGGCTTTTATGACTGTTTTAGCATGAACTAACTCTGACGCCCTTTTTAAGTTGACAAAGCTGAAAAGAAGCGGGCGGTCACTTGTTTTCCTATGACATCTCAATGAGCTTCTCTAACGTGTGGATATTGTTCTGGGTGCTTTTCGATATCATTCTTTGTCGTCCTTCGTTCAGTGTTCTGTCAAGCGAAAATTTACCTACAACAGAGCGCCAACAGATTGGGCGATATCGTATGGGTCTTTCTTCCTATGTAACATCACACTGCTACTGCTTCTTCATTGATAATGTAGAGAAAACCGAGTAGAGATATTGAAGAGGACTAGTGGTAGCGGCTTGCCAGATATTCGGCTTTCATTCTTTTAGGGACTGGATGCCGTGCAACTCTCTGCGCTTATAAGGTTCAAATTGTTCATTCTACTTAGTTCTAATCATTGAGAATTATGGGGATTGAAAATTTCAAAGTGTTTGGCCTGGCCTCCTCTATATCGGGGAAAAATGCCCTAAAGGCGTCAAAAAGATTGTGAAAAAAGAACATTACAAAAAACACCTAAGCAGAAGCAAAAAAAGTAATTATTTCCCAATGCGTTTTTCTACCCTCTAAGCCAGTATTTTTCGATACTTCAAGCTCTACCTATTAGATGTGATTCGTGATCATGTCCATTTAAATATAGGTCAAGGAGGACATGGATCATCTCCAGAAATTGCACATAATGGTCGATTTTGATGAGAATGGCTACTTACTGCAGATCTTCAGCAAACCATGCTCGGACAGACCGACACTTTTCATTGAGATCATACAAAGGCACAATCACCAAGTAAGTCGATTTTGGTGAATTATATCGACGAAAACTGTGCGAAATATATGTATCGATTGACGAAAACCCAGAGCAAGCTCTAGTCGTAACCGGCATTATTTGCCCCAAATTGCCCAAATTTTACAAAGTAATTGAATACGAAACACTATGATTCTTTAGGGTTTCGGTGCCGGCAACTTCCGAGCACTCTTCGAATCGATCGAGCTCGAGCAAAACGAACGAGGAAATCTCTTCTACGAGGACGTAGTCGAAGGCGGAAGAAAACTCCAACTGTGAATACAAAACTGACTCCTAGCCTTTTCGATAAATTTGCTCATAACCAAATGCCATGTTTAAATTATTATAACATAAATAACACCTAAAACCATCTATTGTTTTCGAAAAATGAATCGCGAAATCCCTCTCGAAGTTGCTGATTCGGATCTCCTTGATTTCCACCGGAAAAATTTCTGACAATTATACCAACTTGTATCGACCCTGCCACGTGCTCAGCAAGCCCATCCACCTTCTGATTTAGAAAATTGGCACTAGACTTGTCTTGGACCAACTGGCTCAATCCAATTCACAAATGGGGATCTGGGAACATCCTAGCACGACTGTTCCGTTAATCGAATGAGGATCGACTTGACAAGCATTCAACGACATTAGTGACGGAGACTAAATTTCCTCAGGTAACAATCGAGACTACAAGCAAAAACCCGAACTGAGTCCGTAAATGACGAGTACAAGTACAAAGTAGTGCCGAAAATACCTTTAGAAAATTTCCTTTTTTCGAATTTAATAGTAAGTGTAACAAAGGGTGATCTATAAAGCACTTAGTATTGATAGCTTTGAGATTTCTTACGCCTTCGATTTTATGAATTATCGTAGAGCTGATTGAATGCATGCGTGGCCTATGCAGTGATTTAAGTGGACCTATTTATGTATCGAGTCAATGATGCTATTTCCCCAGACAAGTTCGATAATAAGCTGCCGACCGCGGATTGGTGGAAAGCATCATGAACCCTGATCATCTGATCGAATCAGTGGCCCCATGTGTATTGCGAGCCACTCTTAACTACCAAGCTAAACGCACTCTGAAGACAGCAGTATACCTCATTAATGTACAAGTCTGCAGTTATCAGATAATTCTCGAACAAAGTCTGCAGTTAAATGAGCATGCACTCTCGAAGCTTTGCGTTTCTACGAAAGATCGTTCTCGAGAAATTCTCTTTATTGGATAAGATTTCTCATTGATTCTAGGTATGCTGTGAAGGTAAGTTATTCATAAACCTGTACTACTCGGTTTTTTCCACAAATATTCTTACGGATTGTAACTTCCACCTTCACGTCATTCATTTCTGCTCTGCCACAGACATTCGGCCTTCTATCTTCTTCCCATATTGGACAGCCGTTCAATGTACTAGTGAAAGACCTCGCTGAACAACAGTTCCTACAAAAAGCTAGGTATAACTTATAGGCATAACTGCTAGGGTGTAAATGCTACTTGGCAAACTGGTTGAAAAATGCAGTTTTAAACTGCTCAATCGAAGATGTTTTGATAGCAGGAAAAGGATAACAAGATTATGGTATAATTTCTGCTTGAGTGGTTAGTGTACGGAGAACTAAAGAGGTGTGCTCATGAAAGTTAATCGACCACAATGAACAACATGAAGGTAGTCGAAGACTTTCATGACGAAGGACATAGTTCACGATAATAACTATTAAGTGAAGTTAAGGAGAGGAGATGATTGTATTTATTCCGAAAAAAAGGAAGGCTTGTGATCTTGCGCACTGGATTGAAATATCGTCCGATTCTGTGCGTACTGTAGGTGACTAGTGCGCTACAGTCCCTCCACTTAATGAGTAGTGCTTGTACTCTCCCTAGTCTACAGTCCCTGAGTACTCTTACATCTAGTGGAACTGGTTCCTTCGCTCTGTCACGTGGCTCTCCTTGCGCTTCTTCCTGACATCACCTGTTATTCTTCAGTCACCGTGATTAATCAACACGTTGGGTGACGCGAGACGGAGCGATAACGAATACGCTTTTTTTGGAGTTGACGATGAAATCATTGAATGCGTAACGAGCTCCTAATAGACACAGTCTTGTCTTAAGTATATGACGCCCACGCAGTCCTTAGCTTCTTCGCTGCTTCGGACGACGCCTAATTTGCAGCCGTCGTGGAGGTGGTGGTTTTCCGAAAATAGACGAGCGTTTTTCGATAACCAGACGAATTGAGGAGTTGATTCAGACTTCGTTGGGAACGTGACCGAATTACAGATGAGACTTTGCTTTATCGCTCTGCGAGTATGAATGATGTGTGTGCCAGTGTTTATGACAATGTGGTCCACCTTATAAACACATTGCTGGCAACATTTGTATTTTGCAACTTAGGTCTCTATTTCAGTACTTTTTATGCATTCGCACTCTATATAGCACTCTGTAGGATAAATGTGATTTATTCTAGTGCTCAGAATTGAAACACCTGTCAATTTTTTCCCAAATTACCTGTCAGTTGACTCTTTTGAGAAAAGCTTTCTTTCCATATTTCTGAGTGCAGAGTACAGCTCTTCCAATTTGACACTCACCATGAAATGTTCATTAGATAACCTACAAAAGGATTGCTAGGAATCTAGGAAAAAGGTTCTGTGGTCCA